AGAAATTTATGATTTCTTTTGTATTGAAACGATCACTGAATTAAAGAAGTAGTACTAGTATTAGGTACCTATTGGCGTTTAATTAAGAATTTTCGAATTCGAAAAAACATCGAATTCTTAACGGCAATGAAACTCTGCCCCGTTTCGAAGTGTTATATTTTCGCTGGCATAAAAATAGTATACATATATAGGTTTAGATAACAGACTAAGAAATTGATTATAAAAAAATATATTTGCAATATAACAATCTATTATTACTAAATATTTTCTATATAATTAATCTCCTAAATGAAACGGGTTTAGTTTAAAGTTGAAACTTTTATTGTGAACTTAATTAGATACCGTGGTGAAAAATACTGAGAGGTGATGTCATGGTAACTGTCTCTGTTGACCGTGCCAATAAACGCGTTATACAGGGATTAGGCACCTCGACTATCGTGGTACTAACGGAACGAAGGTTGAAGCCTTGTAACACATCGACGTATTAGACAAACGTATTTTAAGGCATTTTATTCAACTTCCCATCCATTTCAACGTCCACTTTACTTTGAAAAATTCAAGTGACTTTAAAAGTTTGCAAAAGTTTGTTGCATTTTTCAAAGTAAAGTATAAGCGTAATATATGATACTGAGAATTTAAAAACTTGGTCAAACGACACGAGTAAAATGACTTGGACCATTAATCTTACAAGGAAAACTTTCATTCAAAATAATGACATGGACAATAATTGCATTACGTCAAAGTAGACTGATTGGAGTTGTAATGAAACTTATGTTTCGATTCTATATTTAGAAATAAACGTTATCGTGTGATTGGTAATTCCTGGGGGTTAAACAATAACAATTACCATTAAGGTTTTCCTGTGTTAAGTAATTAACATTTAGTCAAAATATACATATTATGCACATAACAACTAATTGTAGATAACGAAAGAAAACAATGACAGTAAATGGAAGAAAAATTAAAATATAGATAACATAATATTAAAGTGATATGGCATATAGTTAAAATTGTTTTCGGTGGTAACGCCTCGGCTGTTGCACGAATGGGCAAGCTCGTCCGGGCTGGTACCACGACCTCACAGAAAACCGGCGTAAAATGGAAATATAATACTTTCGCGTTTCGTCTGGTGAGTGAAGTAGCCGGAGCCCAATTTTCAAAAGGTTGTCAACGCATCTGGAACCCTGTGGTGTAGCAGATGTCCATGGGCGGCGGTATTCACTTAACACCAGGACAGGAACCGTCTGCTCGCTTGATAATTTTAAAAAAAAAAAAATATGTATAAAATGTTGTTAGTAAATTTTTCCATTAGCGCCGGGTGTTTTGTGAGAAAGTCGCCAAATGGCGGGTTTATTTAGTGAACATAACAAGTTTTAAATATTTTTTTCTCGAAACAAGAAGCGACCGCAGAATTCTGTTTGTTGATTATTTCATTACTGATTTTTCTTCACCGAATAAAATTTTTCTTAGGTTATTTTTTAAACACCCGGCGCTAATGGAAAAATAATACAAAATACCCTGTTATTTATCGGTGTAATATTTAATCAACCGTTTTAATAAAATTTTATAAAAGAAATTACTGTCGTCATAAAAAATAATACAAAATACCCTGTTATTTATCGGTGTAATATTTAATCAACCGTTTTAATAAAATTTTATAGAAGAAATTACTGTCGTCATAAAACATACGCATTCAAAGGTGATCATATAGAAAATTGTTTTTGTCTAGACAAGTTTTGTCAGTTAGTACGTATGAAATATTTTTATACGTCGCTGAATAGTCAAATTGATTTCCAATAACACTGTCGAGTCCCGTACTCCAATGAACAGACATACGTAATGCTACAGGAGCCATGCACTACGTATGTTCACACGTGCAGTTCTTAATTTGACATTGAAGTCATATCTCCAAACCATTTTGCTTTTTTTTCATTATGTAATATCACAACTATTTTTCATAAGCTGCCTTTAGAATGTTATAATTAACTATAATATCAAAATCTTAAATTAATATCAAAAAGAGTGATATTGATTACTTTTATTGGACACGTAAATACATAGACCTAACTTGTAGTTCCCAAACGCAAATATGACATGTCAAAAGCCTTTCCTAGACGTCAGTTGGCTTCTCGCCAGTCATGTGGAAATTTAAACTAAGAATACTTTCACGACCGAGAAAGTGTAATTAACATATCCGCCATTCTTAAGAAGTTCCAGATGAAGCATAACTCTGACTTTGTGATCCATTTCTACAGTATCATCAAATTATGTTTATCACTACTATCTATTAATTTTACGTTTTTAATTTAAATTTAATTGCTAACCGAAAAGCGTAACCATTTTCAAATGTCATCTGGTCATTATGAAAGTAATACTCTAATTAAAAAAATAACAATAAGGCGGCTACATTTATTATTGCTATTCGTGAAAAGCTTTATACCAGGCAATAGTAAAGTACACAGTAAAGCTAATAGAGTTTAGGACAAAGATGCAAACTGTTTGAGCAACGAGTCAAGTCACTAAAATACGTTTCACACAACAACGTTACATTGCTTATTTCGAAATGCGAGTGAGAAAATAAATGCTCGATCAATTTGTATTGATGCATTCCTTCCCCGTCCTAAGGGTTGATGAAACATCTGCAATGTAATAAATACTTCAATACGTCATTGAGTGCATACGCAGGTGTACCTTTCATATAATTGTTCTGTCCATGCTTTAGCTCAATCCTCGTTAAATAATGGATGTTTATACGTACTTCTTGGACGTATAACGTGGACCATCTCAAGTCGTTAAATATGAAATACTATTAAAGGACGAACTAACTATAATTTAGTAATGGCTGATGATTGTTCTTTGGGATGCGATGTCAATTATGCAGGCAATCGCAGTGGTAAAAATGTTTTCTCTTACAGAGAAATCGACATCACATCTTACACAGTATCACAAGTGAATTCAAAACAAATCTTGAAGTTTGTTAATAGCACATGATAAAAAAGCTTCAGTTAAAGAATAGTTTTTAAGCATACTTTACATTCAACTCTACAAAGAGTCCGCTGATTTTTCTGAAACTTTTAAAAAACGTTCCTATTCATACCAATCGATTGCCTGTAACTTCCAAAGTTTTGTTGTTTTGCATCCAATTTCGCTACAGGAAACTGAAGTTGGAAGAGAGTTCATTTAGAGCAAATCGCAATAAATCCGTAGGTTTCGGGTTTTTCTTTATTAACTGTTACTATAAAAATAGTCTTTACCTTTTTTTCGTATATCAAATAGCAGTGCCTAATACATTTGAATTTGTATTCAAATAAAATTGTTAATAGATAACATGTTTCCTTCAAACAAATATTTCTGTTTAGTAAAGGCCTTTTAAATATGTTTTCCAATGTGATTTAAAATTAATAACAACATTTTATGATTTCATCTTAGTTTTCGGTTGAGGTATAATAGTCTTTTACAGAAACAGAACTGTAGTAGGGCCACGCAATCGCTTCGGTTGTTGAACGTATGGACAGGTCCCGATAGTACGAGATCCGGCTGCAGGATTAGTGCGCCCATCGGTAATTTGCTAAAAACCAAATTTTTATGTATGTTTATAATAAGGAGAATTTTGGCCGCTAGAATTTTTAAATCAATTATTTTTAATTGATTTTTGGTAAAAAAAATTCGTTCACTTGTGTTTTTAAATTAAAAGTTGCGCCACAGTTAAAATTAATAAATTTACGTCATGAACGTAGATATGTGTCGAAGTCATACCTGTTTACCTGGCTGCGAGAGGTGCGGCCAGGTCCGCAGCACCGCGATTTTTTTTTGAATCGTTATATAAATTGCCGTGATGTAGACGACATTTTATTAAAAAAAACACAAGTTAACGAATTATTTGTTCAAAAATCAATTAAAATTATTTAAAAATACTTGCGGCCAAAATTTGATAGGCAACTTGGTAGATATATATTCTCCTTATTATAAATATACATAAAAAAATGTTTTGAGCGCACCAGTCCTGCAGCCGGATCTTAGACCGGGAGAACTACCACGACCTCACATAAGACCGGCGTAAAGTGGAAGTTATAAATCTGCTTATCGTCTGGTGAGTAAGGTCGCTGGGGCCCACTTTATTAAAAGGTGGCAACTCATCGCAAACGCAATCCTACGGGTGTTTCAAATGTTATCGGGAGTGTCATGTGACAACTTTAAAAAAAACCGTTACTCAAAAGTGAGTAGTATAGCGACAAGCCCATGGTTATTATCGGTAACGAAATGGAAAGTTATACTTGGAACTCGTGCCACCAGCACTTAAGTTACGTTTTCGCGCAATTTAAGACGTTTTAAAAATGTATTGGGGGTGCGATAAACAGCGCGGAACGCAAACCGGTTCGCGAAGAAATGACGTGCATCCGGTAGATTAGGGTTGAAACAGCATTTAAATGATACAAGTAGAGTTATAACGTCTTATGTAGATTCATAAAAACTAATTTTTCGAAGATAAGACGTATATTAGAAATTTACACTGCTGATTTAACAAGGAAAATTGTAGTATTTTATTGTAATATTTTACAGTTATTATTATATATATATTTTTGTCAAATTAATATCATATTTCTATAATATTTATGATAAAATACGATATTCATAAACAATAAACACTTTAAAAATGTTACTACAATGGTTTTAGTATTTACGGATGTGTTGATGTTTATATGTGTGGAAATTAATATAATTTGGAATTTCTATCAAATATCTAGTAGACAACCCTCACATTCGAGAAATAATTTTGAAAATTAGTATGCGCAAGTTATCTACTCATATGAAGAAAATAATTATTTCACATACCAAATTAAAATATATTTAATAAGATATGATTAATGATGATGAGACATTTATAAATACCAAACGAAAGCCCCTTTTTTGCATAAAAATTTTAAGTAAATAATGGCTAAATCAAATCAATGAAATTACATTTTTTTGTACGTTTAATGAAACTATTCGCAATCGAATCAATCACCGATAACATCGGCAGTATCAAGGCCGTAAGGGCAATTTTTATTCGCTACCAAAGCGCTATCGCAATCCGATAGCCAAGCTAAAATTTCAATACGCAGTAGACATACCTCGTCGGACAAGGGCGAGTCGAGCGGAGAGTCTCTTGAGCCCCTCCTCTTCGACGCCAAAGCGTTCCACGAAAGTCTTCGGAACATTTTAGAGTAAACTCGCAACCCACTTATCGGTAGAACCTTTAAAACTATCACATATCAAATGTTCTCCCTTACTAGTGCAACACCAAATAATTAAGTCGGGCTCTACACACAATTATTTACGTAAATGTTGACACGATTGATACGTCCGTCCGTTTCGAATTAACAAAGGAAAATGTTCGTATGAAAACTAACATTGCGTACACACGTTACTCGACTGATAGCACAGACAGCCACGGGCATCAGGAAAAAGGTGTGATAACAAAACAATTTGCATATAGTACTAACTTTCAATATGAAACTATTTCGGGATATATATACCGTAGCAAAGAATTATGAAAATTTATATTGAACTAAGCTTAAATTTTATACTGACGAAAAAGCTCTGATTGCACACGAAAGGCTTATTTATGCCCATTAGCAATTAAAAAAAAATCTTACTATTTTAATAATTACCTATCTATATTTTTAGTGCGCGAGTCCTTATCACACGTACAAACACCTGCCGAATGAAAACTGGAACCTCTTCTTATTATAGCAACGGGGTCCTTTGCTATATTTAAAGTAGCTTCGACCTTATGGACTTTAAAGGTTAAATTTCTGATATAGAATGAATAGATATGTTATAATATTCAATGTTATAATATTCAAAAAGGCGGAATAACGATTGTTGTCCAAAAATTCAAGATTAACTGAATGAGACGAATATATTTTCAACTGATCCTATTATTTAATACGTAATATATAAACAAAGGACCTTCCAATTAGGCACCCAACGACAAGTAATACATTTAAATAAAAATACGATACATTTAAATAAAAATAAGCGAGTTATTTTTATTTAAATGTATCGCTCACCTTAAGCACATAATGCACGCAAATGTTCCACTTAATAAGTATATCCATTTCTAAAAATTAATCCAATCTATACTTATTATTTAATATTATAAGGCGGAAAGGATTGTATTTTCGTATCGTAACGAATAAACTGTAAAAAGTACTGGGCCGATTTCAAAAATTCATTTGCCATTAAAATGCTACATTATCTTTTAAAAACATATGCTATATAAATTACCAAAAAATTAGGGATTCCTATTAAAATTTCAATAATGTAACCCAAGGTGTAAAATATAATAGTCCACTCGTACGAAGCTGGGACAAGCCGCTAATAATAAATAATCACGTAGCTTCGATTGACGAGCACGCGGCCAGCTGAAAAGATATCCGGCCGTTGACACCACAGTTGGAATCTTAGCTACTTCGGGGCTTTTATTGCGGTTCATAACAGTACCAGTAACTATATCTTCTTCTCTATTGATACTGTCGTTTATAGATTGCAATATCAAAATTCTTGATTGGCCAGTTAAAGACAATCCCAAGAAATTGGAATAAAATTAAATAGAATTATCCAGGAGTGTTTATTTTAATTATAAGTGCACTAATCTATAACGTTGTGATCAGTTCAACTTAGTTAAACATATCACAATATAGTATTGATCATGACACAACGCGTTGATCTATCTCGAAAGAATATAATACATTTTAGTAATAAGTGATACGTATTTTTAAAGTGCAGTGTAGCAGTGAATACGTAGTCCTAACGAAATTAGGCAAAATAAGAAAAATATTAGTCAGGAATTTCTTCGTGGACAACCTTACGTAATCTTAAGACAGACTACAAGATAAATAGCAAAAACTTCGCAAAACATATCGGATGTGTACAAATTAATTGAAAACAAAATTACGGTGAGACGCCTGAACCTTAATCTTTGAAGTTATTTTAGTAAGAATATTGTCTCATTTTATATAACATAAATACATTTAAAATTTCCTTGTTGTTTTGATGCAGCGTCTTACGTTTATAATTTATTTTAGATAATTTTAGAAATATAATCGTCGTTTTCGTTCTAATGTTGTTTACATGTCTGACTTCATTGGCATTAATACAAGAATTTGTTGATTTCATCATCGAATGTCTATTCCCGACTTGTTATCAGTAATTATGACAGAGGACTGAACTGCGACGAATCGAAACAATAAAAAGATCAATAAATATATTTTACGGTAGGGCCACGCAGCAGCCTCGACCGGGTAAGTACTACGACCTCACAGAAGACAAGCGTAAAGTGGAAGTATAATACTTTCGCGTTTCGTTTGGTAAGTGAGGTAGCCGGAGCCCAATTTCTAAAAAGGTTGTCAACGCATCTGAAAACCCTCGAGTGTAGCAGATGTCCATGGGCAGCGGTATTCACTTAATATCAGGTGAACCGTCTGCTCGTTTGGCAACTTTTCAAATAAAAAAAAAACTTCCGATCTGATGTATTATTGATACACAAACAGATACTGATATATTGTTTTTCATTGTTTGTCAACGAATATTTAACAATGCATAAATAACGAACCAAACGAGCAAAACAAGAGCTCTACGGAATATATGAGAGTGGAATGGTGATTTAAATAAAAATGTTTCCCAAAAACAATAAGCGAAAATTAGTTTTATTCATTACTTAATAAAAATACATATCTGATACGGTACAGGGGACAAGTTTTAAACACTTAATATAAAAATTTTAATAATGAAAGTTATTATATCTTGCCGTATTCCGAAAAATAAGTTTCTTTAAAGTTTGTTTGCAATTTTATGTTAACTCTTTAGACCTTGTTCCCTTCTGGTCCCATTTGGTTCTATAGAGATGGAGCAAAAGCGACTTGGACTTCTTGAATTTCTAATAAGTATTGGCCTCCAATTGACAATACGACTCTCTTATGTGCTTTTTTTTTAAATAATACATACTACTCTTTACTACATTACCCATATAACGTTACTAAAAAAAAAACACTTGGCCGTTATATGCAGGCCTATCATATACGGCGTGTCGTTACCATCGCGACAATAAATGAACACACGTCTAACGCTACTTGCCAATAATCATAAAAAAATATTAACGTTAAAAAAATCCATAATTAAAAAAATATTTTTTAAACAAACTAATTAAGTAAAAAAGAAACAAAATTTGTAACATTCTATACAACTACAACTGACTTATTCATACATTCAGAGACTTTTTCATTCGTTGCCACGGCGTCGCGTTACAAGCCTCTCCTACTAATAGTATGTTTTGTCTCTTTTAAATTCATTCAACCCATTCATATGCTTTGTGACCTTTACAAATGAACTTTACGTTACAGTTTTATACGTAAGGTGTTCTAAAATTCTTTGTTTTGGAAAATTAAATAACTCGGTAAATATTGATGTTTAAAGAATGTAAATTTTTGATACAATTTTTAAAATTTATCCTCTATATGTGTGGTCATTTATTGTCGCGTTGGTAACGACACGCTGTATACAGAATGGTTGAAAGTGCACTTTTCACTCGTTATCCTTGCAGTTTAACTAAACAAGGGGCCAGCGTTGTCTCACAGGACAAAGTTACTCCTAGGCATCGCAAAGTGGACCGCTTGAAAAGTTTGCAATCGGGAAACCTCTTAGCTGTACGCTATAGAATAAGTAGGCAATCATATCGTTCTATAAAACATATTGCCTAAAGATTTTAAGGCCGTGAATGTTGAAGATGACTACAATGATAATAGCGATCATCATAATGGGGCGGTGCTGTTCGTCGTGACGACAGATTTATATCTCTGTTATGTCACTATTTTCTGTTAAGGCACATCTCCAAAACACGCATGAACAAAATATGTCTACAGTCTACAGTCAATATTGAAATGCGCGAACAGCACGCTCATATTTTTCACCTCGCGATCGACGTTTAAATCCTTGAAGACTGATATTACACAAAACTGTAACGAAAACAACAGCAAATAAAAATCCCAATTCATACAAAATAAATAGAACGAACAAACGTATCCAGACTAACCGTCTCAATTAGACCCGAAACCGTTAGTAGAAGACACAGAAGCAAACGATGGGCTTGTTGAAGAAGTTGTACTTATTTTTGGCCTGTCAGTTGCTTTTATTCGCGGGGCCATCCCATAGCCTAAAGTTTTGGAGCGGCGCCGAGCACTGCGGCGTGAAATACAAAGAACTTCCAATGGCAGAGAAGTGTGAGCTCAGTGAAACAACTTTCCAGCACTCCAACGAGTTTGTTCGATTCCATTAGTCCAACTATTTCTATCAACTTAGCGAGTTTTCTGCAGTTAGCATAGTGCAAGATCTTTATGTCGCGATTCGAGTCTTTTTACGGAATCGTCAGAAAATTTTGTGAATTTCCGATATTGCCACTAAATCAAATTTATGTTCGATCGTAGAAATTACATGAAAACTCATAAAATCTTAAAGACAACAAAATGAAATTTTCTGTACACTATTCTTATACACGTACGAATATCCTTCCAGATTTACTTGGAATATCTTCGAACGATGCAAGTCTTCGTAATGCTTTTACTATACGCATAGCAGATCACTCCGCTCAATATACATACGGATAATTTCAATAACTTGCAATGTTTACTCGATGCCAGCCTCCCTGAAATATTAGGGCTCTGATGTTATACGTGCGCAATTTATTAAAGTTGTTTACTTAAGACAATACACAGGGCGAAAAGCAATGTGATAAGAGATATAAGATATTGTTAAATAATATAATTTTACGGATTTTATCGCGTTTCAATTGTTTTCCCACGTTAGCAACATTTTACAGCATACGTGGTCAAAAGACATGCAGCCGTATAAAATAGTTGTATTTAAACAAAACATTTTGAGGAAACCTGCATCTTTACAAAATCATTATTAAAAAAAATATCGAAAAAATATTCTCGGTGGATTCGCATAGTGTACTATGCCCTAACACCCTTTGCCCAGAAATATAAAGGCTATTAATATAGCCTAACATTTTATAAGATTTTTTTTTAAATTTAACTGTCAGAGATTGAAAGCTTTTGTATATACGCTTATATATTTTGCGACGTTCATGACATTTCAAGATTAAGTAATATTTTATTAAAAAAATACACGTGCATATTTTATGTATATGTATACGAAT